TCTGTGCATCTCTCTCTCTAGTCTGAATTCCAGTGACTTCCCTTTTCTTTTCTTTTTTTTCTTTTCTAATTTCAAGCTTTGATTCCTCCTTCCATACTTGAAATTTTTGAGTGCCATTTGCGGCAAATCGAAGAGCATGGCGAGATCTACGTGTGAGTATCAACAATTTCAGTTTTGGTGCACTCTAGGGAGTTCGAAATTCTAGGGTTCTTGGGCTCAAATTGGGTTTTTCTCAAATTTGAGGTAGGGGTGTTCTAATCTACAACTTCTTAGTTTTTTTTGTGAATTTTCCCCTTAAATTTGATCCTAAGCATGCTAATTTTGATTACCTAGTTTGTGGTTGTTGTAAGTATGATTAACTAAAATGAAAGATGTGTTCCATGTGTATTTTGAAATCATATATATGACTAGATTTATTACGGTGAATGAGCATGCTTAGTGTTGACATATTGTATGCCCTAAGATTATGTATTTATTCATTTATTGCTTTGAAAAATTGATACTATGGTTAATAAATAAATAAAGAAATAAAAGAAATAAATGTTTAGAAATTTTCATTAAATTGTGATGATGATGTAAATAGAAATGTGTGAAATCATATAGTTAAATTGATGATTTGAAGTATGAAGTATTCATGCATCCATTGGGAAAGAGAAAGGGGGAAAAATATTTGTAAGAACAAATAAAATAGTTTTGGGGAAAATATTTTCTAAAAGTGTTGTAAAAACCGGAAGCCTAGGAGGCGTCTAGTAGTCCGTGATGTTAGTGTAGTTTAGAAGGGAATATAATTGAGTTAACTAGGCCGGATGTGACGCCTTGGAGGTGCCTTGTGGTCGTGGATAGTTAACCAACCTTCCTTTCGTGACGCCATGGAGGCGCCTTAGGTCGGACTACACTAACAGTTTGGTTGTTGAAACAGATTTGTTTCGGAAATGGGGAGTGACATTTGCATAACATTATACTTCATGACATCGTGGTAAATTTGTGATTGGTTGATATTTGTTACATATTTGTTATTGTGGTTGAGAATGTGTGTTTCCCGATGGTATGATCCCGTTCACTTTTTATCTATTCATTGTACGGATTCACGGGGACATAAGATGTGTGTTTTAGACACTTCCTACTGAGCTTATGCTCACCCCATTATTTTTAACATTTTTCAGGATATGGAAAAGAGGTGGCGGACGACGATCCGCCACAAGTTTAGATGAGCTTGGGGATCTATTTTTTTTTTTTCCTATCTTTTGTATTAGAACTCTAATATTTTGTAAATGTAATATTAATTATCTTGTGAGACTTTAGTCTAATTAGTATAATGTTGTAAGTTATGAACTTTTAAATTCTAACTATATTTTTGGACTGTAAATTGATGTAACTAAAGTGTGTTCCTTGTTTGGATGAGATGGAGGAACATGACTTTTTTGTATTTCAACAGGTCGTAGAGGAGCTTTTCTGCGGAGGTCATGCCGAAATTTTATATTTTTTTTTATTATTATTTTGGTATCCTTTTGGGGTGTTTCAAATTTGGTATCAGAGCGTGTGATACCCTCGATTCTAGAGCCACGGGTGATCAAGTCCGAGCACAGATTTGAGAGATACCAGACAATTAATATGTAAACAAGTAGGAATAAAAACTGAATTAAGAATAAATTAATAATACGCTGAAAGAAAACTAAAATAAAAATCCTCAAACTTTAAATAATAAATTTAATATCATTTAAATCCTTCAAGTCCGTACAACTCGGGAATCCATCTAGTGGATCCCTAATAATTCCAACCGGTAAAACGTTTACAAAATTAAAATCCAAAACTAAAATAAGAAAGAAAATCCTATGTAGTCGGAAGAGTGATTGTCTGTATTTGCATTAACACGATCAAGCTCTAAGCCTGGTACTGACGAACACCTGAAAAATAAGAGTGGGTCAGGCCCACATGCAAGTTCCATTCCACCACAATCTGTACATAAACCCGATACGCAGATACATCCTAGATAGCTCGGCAATATCTAAAATAGTCCATATAGATATAGATACACACTATAGGATATTCACTAACCTATAGTCATCGCACCTGAGTACAAGGTAACACGCAAAACGCCGTAGCGTAGTCATGCACACCTAGACCTACCAGGGAACGTCATTAGGTTCAGTTATCCATCCAAGCGATATACGCACCCTAACCGTGATCAGGAGACTCAAGCTCGTACCACGGTACCATAAGTATATATATAAATTCCTTCTTAGTGCATAAAAATAAATGAATTATCTATTATGTCATTCAACTATTTTAGTTGACAAGACATGCATCCATGTAGGATTTAACTGTTTTAGTTAATCCATTCCGTATGTATGAATTGGTAGGGATTAGTGTTTTGATCCGGTGCATATCATGCAAATGATTCGTAAATAATGCAACATTTTAAGCAGTTCATCAAATAGTTTCCACATATCCAAGTAGTTGATAAATGTAAAATTTAAACAGTTCATCAACTACAAATCCAGAATTCGTTCACGTAACTTAACGAGACAAAATTTAATAGTTCATCATGTTAAAGTTCAGCATTCATCCAGATAATTGACAGAAAATATATAACTAATTCTTCAATTAATTTCAGGCCAACATCTAATTAGATTGATAGAACTTAAGTACTAGTTCAGCAATTTGAGTCCAAACCAAAATCCAATAATTTCAGGGTAGTGCTTAATATTACAACAATTATAACCCAAGCTCACATCTATGTATTGTAGAAAAGAATTTAGTCTTTCAACAATTAACATCCAAGGAATGCATAGATCAAACTTGTTAATTAAATGATCCTAGCATGCCACCAAAATAAGATTTATAAATATATACATATTCCGTTAAATTGCTAAAATTAAACTAGACAATTAAACTCATTCCATCCGTTAACCGCCTGTACCGTTGTATACTTTCCTACGGTTAAATCCATGGGTACTAAGACCTTAATTTATTATATGTGGCTCTAATATAGCTTGGTAATATTATTTGGAATCCATGTTCCAACCCTTTTTAATTTCTAGACACAGTTTGCACAATTAAATCCTTTCGGTCCGTTAAGTCCGTAAACAGCCTGCGACTTACTTTAGATTTTCCTACGGTTTAAACATTAGCATATAAATAAATTAATGCATCCTAGGGCTTTAATACTCCATGAATTAATATTTAAAACCATCATAATAACCTAAACACAGCTGAAACTAAGCTAGTTTGAACCAAACAGTGTGTAATTAAGCTTCCGTATTGCACAAAATCACAGAGCCTTCTCTAAAAAAAATTGGAGAAGGCTCTAAACTACCTAGAGCCAGCTCTCCCACAAGGGGAGCCTGCTCTCCTTGCCTAGAGCCGGCTCTCTCATTGGGAGAGCCGGTTCTCCCTCTTTTGAGAGCCTTCTCTGCTCCAGACCTCTTTTTTGCTTCGTTTAGTTACCTTCTGTGTTTCCGGCGAAGTCCAGTGTCCTATTCCAAACATTTTTAGGATTATTAGGGTTCAATTAAAGTTCTTAAATCCCTAGAGACTCCTCCTATTTTAATGTGAACCGATTGACAAAAAAACTAAAACAACACCCAACAGTTTATGCAAGAAAAACCAACTTCAGTTTAACTAAGCATATGAACAGTTTAAAGTCTAAAACATGTATCAACATTCTGTTTTAAATTTTTCAGTGTTAAATTATAGTCCAAACCATCCTAGAAACTCCTTAGATTCCCTTACGAATTAATTTACAAAAGTTTAAAACCATAATCAACACCGTTTTATGCAGGAACCAATTTCAATGATTTAAACGAAAACAAATTATTGTCTGGTATAATATGCATCATCCACCATGTTTTAATAGTTTATATTAATCCCTGGAGACTAAAAAGAATGCATAGAATACAAGTTTACAGGAAAGGAATAGAATGAAACTTGCCTCACGATTCCAGTTTGAAACTTTCATCGCTGTCTCTAAGTTTCAGAATTTCTCCAAGACTGTTCCTTCCTCTAATCACTGCTCCAGTTCTATCTCTCCATCAACCTCTTCCTTCCTCTTTAACATGAACTTAAATCCATAGCCAAAGCCCTTTCCCAATTCCCTTCATGTTTTTCCCTCACCTCTTTGTTTCTCTATTTTTTAATACGTGAATAAGGTGGCTCACAAAAACGTGAATAAGGTGTCTCACCAAAAACCCTTGCAGACCTATAAGAATATATATATAGGCTCTATTAAAACCCTAATCCTAATTCCACAACTCATTATATGTCGGCTACAACTTATATATAAATTAAACCCTAAACTTAAATATCACACAACCATGGTATTAAACCAAAGACGTGCACTACAATAAAAAAATAGAAAAAATTAAATAATAACATTTAAAACAAATAATCGAAGGAAAACAAATAAATAAACTATAATCAACTACATCATTCAAAACACAAAATGATTTCCAATCAAATCAATAATTAAATACATACCCAATTAGACACTACTAATTTAAATAAACACAATTAAATAAACATAATTAAATAATTAAGAAACAAAACAACTAGGTTATATAATTAAATCAATTAATCAACGAAAAATAAAAATTAAATTCCCAATTCTATCCTTTTGAAAATTAGGGGTATTACAGAGCGATGGTTCGAATACCATTAGGACGACGGGTAGAGGCCTACCTAGGATTGCATGGGGAGTTGAGTTATTTGTTTATTTGCTTAATTGCTTACGTGATTGCATGCTTATATGCCTATGTGTTAAGGTGTTTAATTATTTGAAAGGCATGCTTAATTGTTTAAATGCTTATATAATTACATGTTAAGTGGTTAATGTTGTTGTATATATTATTAGCATGATCATGTTTATCCTTAGTTAGGTATTTTGGGAGTATAGAAGGTGTTTATGTGTTTCTATTCTTGTCAAGTCATTCATGTAAGGACTCAGTTTTCGGACGTGTTTTAGTACCATCGTTTTTGATCTGTTTCCTTTTTCTTATAGCGTCATGCCACCACGAAGGGATCCTGGGGAAAGTTCTAGCTCCAATCCAGTGGAAAGGGATCAGGAGCAAGTTGAGGAGGATATCTTGTTGCGTGATTTGGTCCCACCAAAAGGGGGACAAGCGAGGGGGACCGTTGATCCACCTTTTCAGATAAATGAGAATAGTTGCAGTCGGCTGTTGAGATAGCTCTTTTCAAAACATTTCGATCGGCAGGTGCATCATCGTTACAATTTGTGCCACCACCGACACCACCACCACCACCACCACCTTCAAAGAATGAGTTGGATGATATTCTTTATCACATTGCAAAGTTTGTGAAATTGATGCCAATTTTGTTTGAGGGTGGCCTAGATCCGCTTGTTGCGGGTAGTTTCATGATAGGGTGGAGAAGCGTATTAATGCCATAAATTTGGCAACGGACAAGTTGAAGATTACATTGGCTACTTACAATTTTGTGGGCGATGCTGAGATTTGGTGGAAGACCGTTTCTCACACCCATAATTTGGATACAATGACATATGATACTTTTAAGAAATTTTACTATGAGAAGTACTTTCCGGCGCCTAAGTGGAGGGAACTAAAGAAGGAGTTTGATGGGTTGAAGCAAGGAAACATGACAATTACAGAGTATGAGAACAAGTTTACATCGCTTTTAAGGTTTGCACTGGGGATTGCTAATGATGAGGAAGAGAAGATAGAGAAATTTGTTAATGGCCTTGATCTTACTATCAGGCCAATTGTAGCTGCCTCAGAACCGACAGAGTATACTAAAGCAGTGCGAAAGGCCTTAGTGGTTGAGGCTGAGAGTAAGGACAGCAAGGCTATCAGGGAGTCCTACAAGCACAACAGGGGTATGAGTGCTTTCTCTGAGGGTCAATCAAGTAAGAAGCAGAAGCATGAGCAGTCAGGGTTCAGGGGACAATAGTCAGTCAGATCCACACCCACAGCTTCAGTGTCCATGGGGTCTCCTAGACCAAATGTTACTTGTTTCAGATGTGGACAGCCTGGACATTACAAGTCCTAATGCACTCAGGCTCAGGTAACTCAAGTGATTTGTTTCAAGTGTGGGTAGTCAGAGCATCACAAGTCCCAGTGTACTCAGATTCAGGTGGTGTCTGGTGGATGTTTCGGGTATGGCCAGCAGGGCCATAGGGTGAAAGATTGTCTACAGCGGGGCAGTGGTTTGGGCAGAGGTGGAGGTTCACAGCAGAGGCAGATATAGTCTGCCATAGTTCAGTCAGGGTTTCGACTACCACCACCACCTCAGTCGTCTCAGCCAGCTATGTCAACCCAGAGTTCTCGACCTGGTAGGGGAGCTTCTTCGAGTGCACCCACTCAGCAGTCAGGTTATCAGGCAGGCGGTTCTCAGGGGCAGAGGACCCAGGGTCACGTATTTGCACTCACTCCAGCCGAGCCACCATTCAGTCCTTTAGTTGTCAGGGGTATGTTTTTTTTGTGTCCCATTCTTTGTTTTTTTTGTGTCCCATTCTTTGGCTCGTGTATTGTTTGATTCCGGTGTATCTTATTCATTCATTGCTTCATCATTTGCAACGGGCATTGGGTTTGGAGGTCAGTCAGTTAGACAGATTGCTTTGTGTTGACATGCCTATCGAGGGTTCTGTTGCTCTTAATAGAGTTTGTAGGAGTTGTTCTATCATAATTGTTGGACGTGTTCTTGAGCTTGATCTCATCCTTCTCGAGATGACGGGATTTGACGTCATTCTTGGGATGGACTGGTTGTCGTCCTTCAAAGCTAACATTGATTGTTTCAGGGGTAGAGTTTCAGTGTGTACCCCGGATAGGGATTGTTTCTGTTTTGTGGGAGATCGGTGTGATCCTCTCACTCATTCATTCTATGGAGTTAGGGGTCGGGATCGGCAGACGTTCTTCTTGGTTAGCCTTTTCGCCAATGATGATGTGGAGTTTTGTGGGGTTGATTATCCAGAAGTTGTACGCGATTTTCTGGATGTGTTTCCGGAGGACTTGATTGAGTTGCCTCCACACCGAGAGGTGGAATTTGCTATTGATTTGATGCTTGGTACCGCGCCAATCTTTATGGCACCGTATCGTATGGCACCGATTGAATTAGAAGAATTGAAGAAGCAACTTGACGATTTGAGAGTGAAAGGCTTCATACGACCGAGTGTGTCACCGTGGGGTGCACCGGTCTTGTTCGCTAATAAGAAAGATGGTTCTTTGAGGTTGTGCATTGATTACCGGAAGTTGAATCATGCCATCATCAAGAATAAGTATCCTTTGCCAAGGATAGATGATTTATTTGGTCAGTTGAGGGGAGCCAGTTGTTTTTCGAAGATTGACTTGAGGTCAGGTTATTATCAGTTGCGGGTTAGAGAGGAGGATATTCCAAAGACTGCTTTCCATACTCGGTATAGACACTATGAGTTTCTTGTTATGCCTTTTGGTTTAACTAATGCGCCGGCGGTATTCATGGATTTAATGAACCGTGTCTTCCACGATTACTTGGATCAGTTTGTGGTAGTTTTCATGGATGATATTATTGTGTATTCACGGACTCGGGAGGAGCATGAGGTCCATTTGAGTATAGTGTTGCAGATTCTACGAGAGCACCGTTTGTACGCCAAATATGAAAAGTGTGAGTTTTGGCTACAAGAGGTGAAATTTTTGGGACATGTTGTCTCAGAAGGTGGGGTTTCAGTTGATCCTTCAAAGGTAGAGACATTTTTGAATTGGGAGCAACCCAGGAATGTCTTTGAGATCTAGAGTTTCCTTGGCCTAGCGGGCTATTATCGGAGATTTGTGAAGGATTTTCCCCGTTTGGCAGCTCTTATGACCAGATTGACCCAGAAAGGGATCAAGTTTGCATGGAATGAGGCCTGTGAGTCATCTTTTCAAGAGTTGAAAATAAGGTTAACTACGGCTCCAGTGTTGGTGATACTCGAGCGTGGCTTGGGTTATGTGATCTATTGTGACGCCTCACGTGATGGTTTGGGTTGTGTACTAATGCAAGATGATAGAGTAGTGGCTTATGGGTCTCGATAGTTGAAGACTCAAGAGCTTAACTACCCTACTCATGACTTAGAGTTAGCGGCAGTCGTGTTTGCTTTGAAGTGTTGGAGACACTATTTGTATGGTGAGAGATTTAAGGTGTTCTCGGACCACAAGAGTCTCAAGTACCTTTTCCCCCAAAAGGACTTGAATAATAGACAGAGGCGATGGGTTGAGTTTTTAGAAGACTATAATTTTGATTTGCAGTATCATCCTGGTAAGGCAAATGTGGTAGCTGATACTTTAAGCCAGAAATCTCGTGGGACTTTGGCTAGTTTAGCCATTCAGAAGTGGAAGATGTTTGAAGATTTGGCTGAAATGGGATTGTATTACTTTGATGATGATGATGATGGCAGTGAGTCAGTATTCTTGTTTAGTCTCGTGGCTCAACCCACTCTTGTTAGACGGGTGATTGAGTCACAGAGACAGGATTCGGATTTGGATGCCATTTACACTCTGATCTCCAGTGGCGAGACCGTGAAGGATTGGGCCTTACATGCAGATGGAGGTCTATGGTTTAGGGGTTTGTTGGTTGTTCCCACAGTTTGTCGTGAGGACATTTTACGGGAGTTTCACACTTCCCGTTTTGCAGTTCATCCGGGTGGTACCAAAATGTATCACAATCTGAGACGTCAGTATTAGTGGAATGGAATGAAGAAGGACGTTGCACAGTTTGTGGCTAAGTGCCTTACCTGTCAGCAGGTGAAGGCCGAGCACCAGAGACCAGCTGGTTTATTGTAGCCATTGCCGGTAGCGTAGTGGAAGTAGGAGGAGATTGCAATGGATTTTATGACAGGTCTTCCTAGGTCACGGAAGGGAAATGAAGTCGTATGGGTCATTATTGATAAATTGACCAAGATAGCTCACTTCTTGCCTATTAAGGCAACAGATGATGCAGAGGCGCTTGGTGTGCTTTATGTGAAAGAGATTGTAAGATTGCACGGAGTTCCGGTGGCTATTGTTTCAGATAGGGATGCCAAGTTCACCTCGAAGTTCTGGGAAAGACTTCAAGCAGCATTTGGCTCAGCGTTACACCTTAGTACGGCATTCCATCCATAGACGGACGGCCAGTCAGAGCGTACCATCCAGATCTTGGAGGATATGCTTCGGGCCTGTGTACTTGACTTGGGTGGTAGTTGGGAGGATCACCTTCCACTTATTGAGTTTGCCTACAACAACAGTTATTAGGCGAGTATTCAGATGGCTCCATTTGAGGCGTTGTATGGTAGACCTTGTAGGTCTCCTGTCTATTGGACTGAGGTGGGCGAGACAGCCGCCTTAGGACCCGACATTGTACTCGAGACTACCGAGAAGATTAAGCTGATCAGACAAAGATTGCTTACAGCTCAGAGCCGACAGAAGAGTTATGCAGATAGACGGAGACGACCGCTATCCTTTGAGGTGGGAGACCACGTTTTTCTTCGGGTTTCTCCAAGGAAGGGGTTGATGAGGTTCGGGAAGAGTGGCAAGTTGTCGCCACGATTCATTGGACCTTTTGAGATCTTGGACCGTGTAGGAGAGGTTGCCTACAGATTAGCATTGCCACCGCAGATGGATAAGGTCCATAATGTTTTCCATGTATTGATGTTACGGAAGTACCAGCTAGATCCGTCTCACATTTTAAGTTGGGTTGATGTGGACATTGATGAGGATGTTTCCTACGAGGAGGGACCAATTCAGATCCTTGACACACAGCAGAAGGTGTTGAGGAAAAAGACGATACCGTTGGTAAAGGTTCTTTGGAGGCATCATGGAGTTGAGGAGGCTACTTGGGAGCTCGAACAGGAGGTTCGCTCCAAGTATCCAGAGTTGTTTTCTCCCTCAGGTATGGCCTGATTTCGGGGACGAAATCTTTTAAAGTTGGGGAGAATGTAATGTTGTGATATATATGTATATATATTTAATGTTAAAAGAAAAAGAAATAAAGTTGGTGGGCCCTACCAATATATTAAACATAACAAAAGGCCTTATGGCCATTACGCAGACCATTTATTCTCTCTCTGTGCATCTCTCTCTCTCTTCCGAATTCCAGTGACTTCCCTTTTCTTTTTTCTTTTTTCTTTTCTAATTTCAAGCTTTGATTCCTCCTTCCATACTTGAAATTTTTGAGTTCCATTTGTGGCAAATCGAAGAGCACGGCGAGATCTACGTGTGAGTACCAACAATTTCAGTTTTGGTGCACTCTAGGGAGTTCGAAATTCTAGGGTTCTAGGGCTCAAATTGGGGTTTTTCTCAAATTTGAGGTAGGGGTGTTCTAATCTACAACTTCTTAGTTTTTTTTTTTTTTTTTTTTTTTTTTTTTTTGTGAATTTTCCCCTTAAATTTGATCCTAAGCATGCTAATTTTGATTACCTAGTTTGTCATTGTTGTAAGTATGATTAACTAAAATGAAAGATGTGTTCCATGTGTTATTTGAAATCAGTTATATGACTAGATTTATTACGGTGAATGAGCATGCTTAGTGTTGACATATTGTATGCCTTAAGATTATGTATTTATTTATTTATTGCTTTGAAAAATTGATGCTATGGTCAATAAATAAATAAAGAAATAAAAGAAATGAATATTTAGAAATTTTCATTAAATTGTGATGATGATGTAAATGAAAATGTGTGAAATCATATAGTTAAATTAATGATTTGAAGCATGAAGCATTCATGCATCCATTGGGAAAGAGAAAGGGGAAAAAATATTTGTTAGACCAAATAAAATTGTTTTGGGGAAAATATTTTCTAAAAGTGTTGCGAAAACCGGACGCCTAGGAGGCTTCTAGTGGTCCGTGATGTTGGTGTAGTCTAGAAGGGAATGTAGTTGAGTTAACTAGGCCAGATGCGACGCCTTGGAGGTGCCTTGTGGTCGTGGATAGTTAACCAACCTTCCTTTCGTGATGCCATGGAG